ACCTCGTCCTGGCACTGGGTTACTTTGCTGACACTTGCTTTCTGTCTTAGGCTGATTCACCCAGCGAGCGGCCGCACTTATCACGAGGAGTTCAGACCCCCGAAAGAGCACATGAAGGACGATGTATGTGAGGCTCCCAAGGCCACAGCTTACATTGCTTTGGATTTAGCTGATGGTTTGCAGCATCCCTGGAAAAACTAATTTCTTTCCTTCTTTCTCGTACCTTCTGTCCTGGCTTTCTGGGGAGCGCGGGGAACTGCCTGGGCAGCTGAGCCGACGGCACTGCGGGGAGTGAGGGCTGGAGGGATGAGTGAAGGGCATGGCCGTTCTGCAGAGCCGGCCCGGGCTCTGCCAGCCTCAGAACTCGTTGGACTCTGTCCATAGCTGAAGTTGCGGTGGGCTGTGACTGGCTTCCCTCCTGGGGAAGCAACTGTAGCTGGTGTCTGCTCTCGAGGCTCCTTGGGCTCCTTTTAGCAAGCAGAGTGGTGTGTGGGGGAAAGCCCACGACGCTGAATCCTCTCTTCAGTGACTGCTCTGGGACTTGTTTTGGCTGCTCTGGGTTCGCCCTGCTCTCCCCTGTGGTCCTGGGGATCACCTCTGCAGCTCCGCATTGTAGCCTGTCTTGGAGGAGGGGAGCAGGGGGTGTCGTAGCTGCAGAGAGAAGGGGGGAGCATGCCAGGCTGCAGCTAGCTGGAGACTGTCCTCTTGCTTCTCCCAGGTCACCGGAGAGCCCCTGATCCGCCGTTCGGACGATAACGAAACAGCCTTGAAAACCCGCCTGAAGGCCTATCACACGCAGACCTCTCCCCTGGTCTCCTACTACAGCAAGCGAGGGATCCATACGGCGGTGGATGCCTCCCAGTCTCCCGACGTGGTGTTTGCTAGCATCCTGGCAGCCTTCTCGAGAGCAACATGTAAAGACCTGGTTATGTTCATCTAGGGCTCCGTCCCAGGACGGAGCCCTCCCTTTTCTCTCTCTCTGTCTCTCCATCTCTGTCTCTCTGGGGCTAGGGAGGGTGAAGAGCTAAGCAGAGTAGGAGAGGAGGGAACAAGACGACGCAGCCCAAGGCAGGGTTGTGCTAATTCTCTATTAAACAAGCTGTTAACGGTCTCTATCGGTATATGTGAATGTCAGTCTGTCTGCAGATGCTGGAGACTTGGCCCCTAGAGGTCGCAGCGAGCCCGAGCACCAGCTGCCAGAAATGGGGTTTGCACCCCTTTGGGTCAAAGGGCTTTTGCTTCATGCTAGAGCTGTGGCTCCCTGGAAGGAGCTGTACTTCCAGCTCCTCCTGCCCGCTCCGCAGGGGACTAGCAGAAGGTTGGAGAGCAGGACTGAGCAGTGGGGGGAAGGACCTTCACAGGGTGCCGGATAGGTGATGTTCTCTGTCGGCTGCAGGAAATTAAACACGGGGTTGCCCTTGGGAAGCATGTGAAAGGCTGTGTGTGTGTCAGCCATGGGAGGGACAGCTTGGCTGTGCGCGCCACTGCAGCCTGCTGCTGCTCGGGGCTGGGTGAGAACTTGTTCTCATGGTATGTGTTTTATTCTCTGTGGGATGGCAGGTTACCCCAGAGCACAGCCTGTCTTCCTCCCATTTTGATAGGTCTTGTGGGGCAGAAAGAGGGTGGGTGAGAGCTGGGGGGGGTTTAGCCTGTCCTCATTTGTGGGCCCCAATGTAGCAAATATTAGTGAGATGCTTTTTGCTTTTTTTTTTAACAACATGAAGTCTCTGGTCAGAGTCTGACAGTCGCTGTGTGGCAAGTTGGGATCTCCTGAGGAGAAGAAAAGGACTTAGGTTTTTACCTCTTCACTCTTGCCTTGGCTTTGACCAAGCAGATGAAGATGTGTTGAGCTTCTCTGATCCCAAAGTCTAAATAAAGCCTTATTGCAAAACAAATGGTTTTTCACAGCCTGAGAGACAGCGTTATTAACCACTGGCTTAATGTGCCCTTGAGCCAACAACCTTCGTTATGAGATCATGGAAATGTACTTGGTTCTTGAGCAAATCCAACAGCTCCATCAGGCTGTCCGTTTGAGGACACCGTGTGCGGTGCGTTTAGTGCCCCAGCTTCTTCTCAGGGCCGTTACGCTGTATATGGTGACCCTGCACGGCTGGTGATGACCTTTGCCCGTGCAGGATTCCAGCCCTTCCTAGAGGACCCTGCTGTAAATGCAGATTGGCCCAGGTGAAACTTTGTCCTTTGGCCTTCCATGTATGTTTAGTGACTTGGTGCTATTGAGTACCCTCCTCTTTTGAGGAGGTGGCCTCTCTCCCTCCTGTGCACCGAGCTGCTGTGGGCTGTGTGTCCAGAGCAGATGTCTAATCCTCAGGAATCCCTTGCTCTTTTTCTTGATAACTTCTCTTTTGTCTGAAAATCGCTCTCTATCCTCATACATCCTTTCCAGGGAAACAGCCTCTTCCCTTCCAGCAAACTGGAAATAACAGTAGGAACTGAAAGCACTTGACTTGTTGCTCTTGAAAGCACGTGGCTGCGGGGAGACAGGGTTTGAAAGTAAACGGTGCTGGTTTCGTCAGCATCCTGCAGTCCCCTGAGATCCCCCAGATGGTCGCTGCTTTGTCGATCGTCTCTGGCTTTCCTGTGAAAGGGCAGCCCCAGCGCGTGGCGTCGGCGTGCTGGGAGGTCGGGATAGCATTTAGCGTAGGACTGCCGTGCTCCAGGGTAGTGGAGAGGAAAGCGTGTTAGAGCTGTTGTGGCATCTTGATGACTGTAAAGAAATTCAGATTGCAAGCAGCTTTTATCTTGGCATCTTGAGAGAGTCAGAGAGGAGAGCTGCAGCCCCCTACATGCTGCCGTAATAGCAGGAGGGGTTCCCAGCTATTTGGTGTTCCTGGATTTGGTCAAGGTTTTACTCCACAGCAAGAACAATGTGTTCTTCCACTCTCTGTTCCTTTTCCCCTTTGTGCTCACTTTGCATCCAGCTCGCCAGCCTTTTGCTGCCATAAACCATGACTAATTTTGGGTTTTTTTCCCTAAATCTATTTTTTTTCTTTGTTCCCATTTATTCCAGCTGAGTGACTCCGTGAACCAGATGAGAGACCACCAAACGCTGCACGCTCTGCTACATCACCCATTGCAGCCCTCCCCTGGGTGCAGGGGAGGCAGGGAGGGCAGCTGGGAGGGGGTTACGATTGATGGGAGGGGAATAAGGAGGTGGTAGACAAGGGGCTTGGGGGCTGATTCGGTTGGTTTGTGTTTGGATTTCTTATTCAGCAGAATCATTGTGAAGAGGAGATGACCTTCTCCTTAGAAATCACAGTTTGGCTAGGCAAAACAATTGTACAGAGTGAAACATCTCTGCCAGCGATCAGACGCAGGTCCTTGACCTGTTAGGAGGGTAGGGCTAGATGCTGTTTCGGGCTTCTCCAGGACTTTCAGGGCTTGTCTCATGGGCTCTTGGTACTCTGAGGCCACTGCAAGGTTTGCTGTGATTTTTCTAAAATCACTTCCTGTCAGTAAGGACCAAAATGAACAAATGACTCATTTCTGAAGTGGAAAGGAAAAAAAAGATGCCATAGTCTTTTCCTGGAAGTTTTGTTTTTCTTGTTCTGCTGCATTCCTAAACCCAGCATAGAGACTTCTCGAGGTTTCTCTGCTGCTGAACAGAGGGGCTGCGGCTCTAGTCCAAGCCTGCCTTACTTGGTAATGGGGTGGCTTTTCTGTGATCTTCACCAAGTTGGAATTCACACAATTCTGAAGAAATGCAAAAGAGACTTTCTTAATTGACTGCAAAAATAACACTTAATTGGTTTTTTTGCATTTCTTTTTAGATCAAATGGTGCCTTGTCTAACCTCTGAATCAATAATAAAATAACCCCTTTACATTTTGTATCTGTTGCTGTGTCCTCTTTGACCTGCAGACAGTGTGGAAGACAAGAGGAGCAGATGACAGCATAGCCAACTAACAACTGAGCTGGGTGGATCCTTGGGCCTGATCCTATCTCAAGGACGTTGTTCTGTGCAGTTGAAAATGTGGCTTGTAATTCCTTTTATCTCTGCCTTGCTGAGTGTGTTCCAATGCTTTATATCACCAGAGCAATGGTGTCTGCTGCTGCTTTTCTCTCTCCCGTTTCTTCACACGTGATGCTGAAAGCATTGAGCCCCTGTATATCCTGACCCTGGTCAGAGCTCCTTTCAGGTATTTTTAACTGATGTAATTCCTTGCCTTTTCCTCCTCCCTTTGCATTACTAGTGTGTGGAGGAGCTGAGGTTATTTCCTTCTCTCCTCCTGCAGTAACTGGAAGACACATACTGTGTCTTCTGTTTCTGCTCATTTGCTTTCAGCCTTTCATACCTTGCTGCATCCCTCCCTTCCCCTCCACTGGTGCCTCCCTCTAGCTACGCAGGGCAAAATCGCTAATGCAAGAACGAGAGTGCTTCCTTGGCCTCCCTTTGCCCTGCCTCCCCAGGGCCCCTGACCCTGGCTCTCTGAGGTATCTCAGAGGAAGGCTGTTCTTGATGTGCTGATGGAGGGTCGTCATTTTTCCACGATGCCCTTGGTACCCCCGCCTTGCAGCCCTGCCTGCGTTCGGGGCTTTGGTTTAGGCACTGTGAGCAGGCACCAGAAAGGGTCAGGCTATGTATGCCCATTTCCTCCAGAAATGACTGGTTTCTTCAGCATAATTGGGCGCTCACTCCTCCGCCATTCAGTCTCTCTGCGCTCTGGTGGTTTTATTACCTCTCTACCTCCGATTAGCATTCTCCCTCTTCTGAAGGCAAGCTTCTGCCTCTGGTGGTTGTGGTGTTCTTCCCTTGTTTCTTTTGATGATGGATGTTAAACTATGCTCTTTCTCATTGTTTGGGATTGTCCTCTACTACTTGCCTGCTGCTGTTTTAAAAACCTGTTCTGCCTGCTCCTCCTGGCTTTCTAGTATGTGGGATGGAGAAGTCTTGGCTCCTCTGAGCTGGGCTGCTTTTGTTTGATCCTTACCTGAGTCTGGAGCGTGAAATGAATTGTTGGGGTGCTGTGGGAAAGGCTGCTGTGGGGAGGCTGTTTAGCTCAAGCTCACGTCCTCTGTAGTTGGATCTGTTCTGTGACCTGTCTCTGTCATGTTGACCTTGAATGTTTTCCACAGCACGTGATGCTCTGCAGGTGCTGTAAATTCCTTCTGTTCAACTATTTCACTCCAGCAAGCTGCTTATCAGGCACTCTTTTGAAAACTGTGTTCATATTTCATACACACAATTATTCAGCAACTATAAAAGGGGAGAATTCCTATTTATAGCACAAGGACCAGCATCAAATAGGACACTGAATTCTCACTGATAGAGGAAGTGACCTGTTCTCTAATGCAGCAATATTTCTGCTGAAAAGAAAAAGCATCTTGGATGGGGGGAGGGAGGGATGAAAAGCCCTGGGCCATCTCTTTTCATTAAAAAATGTGCTGCAGTCCTAAAAATACAGTATCTGCCCTTCTCCTTTCCCGATGAAACCATCTGCGAAAGAGAGATTGCAGAAAAACCTTTCACTGTAGATTTGCGGTTAGTAATGATGAGTCTACCGACTCCTGATGGCGTGGTTTGGAGCTGGTCTTAAGTTTCTGATCAATACCTGATCTCTGACCTCGACCTGGGAGCGAGGAGAAGTCACTACAGAGTGCCTGCTGTGGGCAAGTAGCGCAAATCCCTCATCTGTAGAGAGTTTGTACAATCATGGTCCATGTGTGCACAGCCCCGAAGCAGGAGGAGCACGTGGGGCTGGGGAACAAAGAACTGGCTGAGAGCAGTGAGTGGAGGGGGTGGAAAGGTGGGAAGAGCGCTGGGGACACGCGTGGTTAACTGCTGCGGAGAAGGTGAGTGCTTGTTTAGTCTGAGCCTGCTTCCCCTGACTGCCCCTGCTCTCCCTTCCCTCCCAGGTGTGTCGAGCCACAGCATCCCCCAAGGCCATCGCTGGCCTTTGCCGCTGTTCCCTGTTGTCGCCCTGTCCTTCCCGTGGTCTCCAGGCTCTTTAGGAAGAGCTGCAGTGGGTGATACCAAGCGAGGCCCTGGGAGGTGGAGGACCAGAGGATGGGATTCCCCCTCCTGTCGCTGTGGCAACCGTTGGGAAGGGAAGCGAAGCAGCAGTGGGGTGTGATGGGCGGCTGCCTGGCACGGAG